GCTTGAAGAATCAGGGCCAATTAATCCAGCTTTGGGGATCCATTTGGTGCTATGTGAGGCCTTTGGCTGACCCAGTTAGTTCTGCACTGGGTCTGGGTCTGAGAGCTCACAGATCACTAATCAAACACTATCCTGACTGGGAGTCATGTGCATAGCTGTACAATGTCAAATATTGCTGGGAGTTGTTGTAAAACCTATGCTACCCAGCAACTGTTCAAGCTCACAGCGACCAGGCATAGGAGGGTCTTTCAATGACCCTAACAGGATATTTGGCCACTACCTAGGACTGTGTTGGTCAACTTACAAGGTAGAGGAGGCTCAGGAGGTCTTAACTGTGACCCATTACAACACTAAGGGGGCTGCATGTAATATTCATTGTATGGAGTATGACAGAAGACTATCAGAGATTGCAGGCATGCTACAGGAGATGGTAAGAGTTTGTAGACTTTCTACAGGTGTGCTTGGGAACATGGTACATAAGACTGGTAGAGATCACTGCCATTACAACCTTTGTTCAATTTTGCCATTGCCAATTCTGACACTGGGGTCCAAGCATGCTACTACTGACACTAATGAAAGTTGTAGCCCAAGAATGCTCCCATTGCCATTATAGACTGCTGGGTTCCAAGCATGATCCCACTGTCACTACTGATTGCTGGGTTCCAAGCATGATCCCACTGTCACTACTGATTGCTGGGTTCCAAGCATGATCCCACTGTCACTACTGACTGCTGGGGTCAAAGCACGCTACCACTGCCACTACTAATTGCTGGGGTCCAAACATGCTTCCACTGCCACTACTGACTGCTGGGGTCCAAGCATGCTCCAATTGCCTTTCTGATTGCTGGGGTCCAAGCATGCTCCCTCTGTCTCTACTGACTGCTGGGGTCCAAGCATGCTCCCACTGTCTCTAATGACTGCTGGGGTCCAAAAATGCTCCCTCTGTCTCTACTGACTGCTGGGGTCCAAGCATGATCCCACTGCCCTACTGACTGCTGGGGTCCAAACTACAAGTAGGCACCACTTACCTAGAGGGAGGCACATTTAGGGCAGCTGACCACATGGATCCCAAATCTTAAAGAAATTGGCACCTTATGTTGACTATCCCCAGTTCCCAGAAGGGATTAGCCATCTCTATGGATCAGCTAGAAAAGCTCTTCCACTGTTTGTGCATTTAAAGCGCTTTACATGCATAAGTTACTATCATCAACGCTTCTCGCCTTCCATCCTTGAAAACAAATACATAACTATATATATATATATATATATACATACATATGT